TCTTGAGGTCCAAGAAAGTCAGAATAGTACAGATATCCCCAAATTACCCCTTTTTGCAGAGTAGACAGTCCGACGTACTTCGTAAGAGGAAGACAAGTTTTTTGAAGTTGTATTTTTTTTGTCATAGTTTTTTGGAAAATTAAAAAATTAAAAAAATTATTTTCACTATTTTTTTTTTACATACTGTCACCAGTGCAGTACAGCGTCATCATATAACTGGCATAGCGGTGAACAGGGACACTGACTGATGACAGTATGAAAAAAAAAATATATATATATATTTTTTTTTTTTTATTTTTTTTTTATTACATTTTTTTTTTTTTAAGATTTTTTTTTCATATTTTACTATGACCAAAGTAGTACAATGTTACCATAGTAACATTGTACTACTTTGGGGAAGTGATCAGTATTTTTTTTTTTTGTACACAATTTGCTTATAGAAAAGAATTACTTTGCTATAAGCAAGCATTTACCTGAATGACATCGATTCACTCAGTTTTTTTTTTTTTTTTGTGCTTAGCTGTGATTTGGCCACAGCTAATCACATGACATGTGCATGTGACCTGCTGTGACCATTCACAGCTAGGCACTAGTATACAATGGATGGCATGAATGAAGCCATCCTTTGTATACAACTGTCATGTGACCTGCTGTGATTGGTCACAGCAGGTCACATGGTACCGGCAACGGTGACAGCTCTGTAACCGCGTGAACTGCGCATGTGCGGGAGGATGCCAAATGGCGTATACCCCGGAAAGCTACAGCATTTTTGCGGCCGCCAAACGGCCATAGGCCGGGCGGCTAATGGTTAAGAAACCAGCCTGTATTTAGGCATGGCAAGTCTATGGTCATAAACTAGGAGACCTCTATAACGAATTCAGTGATAAATTCTAAATAAATTTACTGTTTGGATAAATTAGAAATCTTTTTCACTTCTGGGGATTTATGACTCCTGGGAAACTCTCTCAGGATTATTCATTCTGTATTTATTTCACATCTTGTTTCAAGCCTGCACTCATTTAAAGGGATGTGAGGAAAATGCTCTGTATTTATGCAATACAAACAGATATCTTGTATTTTCCTTGCTGAGCACACACACCCATTATTGTTCTTACAAAAGCCTGATCATTTTCACTAGTAAAAAAAACTGTCCTAAGTGAGGACAACCTTTAGCTTCAGCTGATATCCATCAATTGAAGGTTTATTTTTTTTTTGCTTTAACATTTTTATTCTATTGCCTTAAATAACTAGTTCCTTCTAGTGACAGAAGTTTACAGTCCTGGAGATAACGCATTTTAAAATCATCTTAAAGTTTTCATTCCTGGCTGAGAAGAACTTTTTTTCCCATATGAATATATACTTTTTTCCCTAAACTCATTAAAATTTTTTTATATTATTTGGTAAATGGTAAAAAAATAGAAATAATTTATGTGCAAGAAACAGTTATCGATGTGTATTGAAATTAAGGGGCCTATTTTAAATTTTTTTTTTTCACACAGATTCACAGCTTTCACCTAAGATTCACAGTGGATAAGCAAATAGGTAGTGTAACCATGGCAATGTAATGTTTTGTTAACATTCATTGATATGCATTTTTACTTCAATGGAAAATGCATGGGTGTGAATAGGCCCTAAGTGTCACATAAATTTGCAAATACATTCGAATTTGCAGTACTGCGTCAACGCATCTCTGCAAAATATGGTCCTCTACTATCTGGGCTCCTAACCTGAGACATGTTGGGACCCATTGGGACATTCCGTATCCTCCTTACAGTAGCTCACTAGAAGCACAGACTTTCTCCTGGCAGCAGAAGACCCACCAGAGCATCTGTACCAAACTGAACAAAGCAAAGAATGGTGACCACTTAGATTAGTTTTTAGCAAGAACAGCAAAGGTACACATGGGTAAGGGAGAACACTAATAAAGACATTTTCCAGTACTTAATACTGCCATTCAGTACCATAATCCTAATTTAAATGTTTTAACATTTAGGTATAAAAAAGTTTCAACAGCAGAAATTTGCTGTGTAATTTAGGTTAAAAACCTCTGTTTTTCTTCCCTGCTCAAAAATAACTAGTAATGCCACGAAACAGTGGCCACGTCTGCTAGTTATCGATATGTAAGGTGACAGGATCTAGTCAACTCCCTTCTTCTGTCATTCTGTTCCTTCTCTTTAATATTTTCTCTCTCTTGATATTTGCTTCTTACAGTCACTTGTGTATGTGGGTAAAATATTCAATGCCATAAAGCAAAAAGAAACTTTATAACAAACATACAATTAAAGGACTGCGGATGCTTTTATTTATCAGTGTTAGGTGTGACACCCTTCCACTATGCAAACAGGTATAAAAGTGACACCGGATTCTCAAAGATGCAATGTAAGGAGCTCTGGCAGGTTGATTGTGAATGGAGAAGTTGTAGTCTGTGCTTTCTCCAGATTTGGTAGTTCTGGATCAGGGCCGGAAGCTTGAAGGTTCCAAAGCTATTTGGGCAGGACGAACTTTCAATCTGGTGTCTAGGCTTTTCTTATTGCCAGCAGCCTGTATGAGTGCACAGGGGTTCAGGAGTGATATAAGCTTGATGAGAGTTACTGCAGTTGCAGGTGGAGTTGTTGCAATAGCTGCAGCCAGAAGGGAGGTGTGCTCCTTTCTGGAAACCAAGGCAATATCCTTGAGAAAGCACTCCATGTGGGAGAGGTTCCACAAAATTGGACCAAGAGAGTTGGGAGGCTAGAGCTCAGGCAACTAGGAGAGAGTCCAGGAGAGCCAGAGGAATCTGTGAATCTCAAAGGAGTAAGAGCACCTGGGGTATCAGGAGAACCTCTACCTAGAGGGTAAGAGTGGGCCCATGCAGCAAGGTACTAAAAATAAAGCCGAGTGAGCTTGAGAACCAAGTGGCTCGGCATTTTTCATTTGATGTGAAGCTGAACCCTCTGCATGGAAAACCATAAGTTATAAAGACTTTCTGTTACCTTCTAGCATGGTTAACCAGGTTCTTAACTATAGTTCCTATCTGCTGTGGAATCACTTCACAAATGCATCTACCACGAGAGCTGAATACCCCCATATCACACATGGTATAGCTAGTAGTAATCAATAACTTCCAGTTAGACATTCTATAATGATTAAGAGTTTTTACAGCTTTTCCAAGTAGCTTCTTCAGTTCCAATGAATATCAGAACCATACCCCAGCATATATAGCCATACATATGACTACATATACATACATGTACATATATACTGAACATACATATACATAATCCCATTAATCCAATCACTATGAAATGTGGTAAAGCACATGCTGACTGTCCAAAAACAGGATGAAAGGTGAGAGAGTTTGCTGAAACACTTTTCTAACAACACAATCCAATCCCTTGGTTAAAGAAAGACTGTAGCAGATGTTAATCCTTCAATTTACATTGCTAAAGGTGAGAACTATTGTCAGATCAGCAGGGTAGAGATGTTGGATCTTGTTGAATCTTAACTCCATAGAAGAAAAACCTTTACTCTTGCTGTGATTCTACCTTCCCACTGCAAGGTTTAACTGCTCACTTTGCCAAGGGGATGATGAATCTTTACCTTATTCCGTGCTCTTCCAGCCAGTGCCAGTGCAGCCAGTGCTCACCTCCATTGTCTGTCACTTCATGGCTGTAGGTGGCCCTTATACACAGTGCAGGACTGCCAGTCCTGTATTGTATGGAATGACGTCAGGGAGCTGGGACCAGTCAGGTAGCAAAGGGAAGAGGCTTTTGTGGGCCAGTTGCACAGAAGTCAAGAATAAGGTAAGTATATCACCTTATTCATGATCCCCCAGCCAAAACAAGCAGTTAACTCCTGTAGTGGGAAGAGAGGCATACTATAGGAGAAAAGTTTTTTTCCCAGAATTCAGCATTAAAATGAATAGCAACACCCCATGGATTGTGTAATACAAAGCAAAGTGGTAAAAAACATGTTTCTTATTACTGCAACACTGGATGGGGACCTAAATGTGTTTTCTGAAGAAAAGCTGCTGTGCTACGTAAACCATTTTACTGTTACTAGATCATTTTAGATTCCAAAAAACGAAGTAAAATATCTTTTCCTACCTATTATCTTCATAAAAATTAACAGGAATTGTTTAATTTTTTTTTTTTGCTTACACAATAGTATTTTCTGCATAGGTGTTTATGCTTTGTTTCAACATTTTATTCCAGCTTATGGATCAGACAAATTTGAGTGTCACAACTTATTTCATTGTAAATGGATTTTCAGACCATCCTGGTTTACAGCCTATAATATTCTTTATGGTTCTGTGCATTTACCTTGTCACCATTGGTGGTAACATGGCAATTCTTTTACTGGTCTGTCAGGATCAGCAACTTCAAACTCCAATGTACTTCTTTCTGTGTAATTTGTCCATTTTAGACATCTGTTGCTCAACCAATAATCTACATAATATCCTCATCAGTTCTATATCAGGAGACAACAGTATTTCCATTTCTCATTGCTTAATACAGATCTTTATATTTTTATCCTTAACATGTGCTGAGTTGCTCATTTTAGCCGCCATGAGCTATGATCGTTATGTAGCCATATGCAACCCACTATACTACACCATGATCATGACTTGTCCAATTTGTACCCTACTAGCAATGTCATGTTGGATTTTGGGTGCCTTAGAAAGTATTCCAATATTTTTGGATATGTTCAAGTTAACCTGCTATAGATCAAACATAATCAACCACTTTTTCTGTGACATCATGCCAGTGATGAAGTTGACCTGCAGTGACACAACCTTCTTGCATTTTTATATTCTTACCCTAGGAGTTTTAGTTTCGGCTTTCTCTCCATTTCTTCTCACAGTCATTTCCTACGTCTTCATTATTGTTTCTATTCTGAAGATCAATTCCACCACTGGAAGACATAAAGCCTTCTACACTTGTTCTTCACATCTCACAGTCTTCATGTTACTCTACACAACTCTTGCTATCCAGTACATGAGACCCCACTCATTAATAAACCTGGACTCTAATAAACTAATCTCTCTCTTTAACACAGCTGCCATGCCTCTGCTGAACCCCCTCATTTATAGCTTGAAAAATAAAGATGTTAAAGCATCTTTTAGGAGAGTTAGTAGAGTTATTAAGCAAAAGCTGTAGTGCTGGTAATAAGTAAAGGAGCAGAATCAAATATTTAACAACACCTAAGTATTTATGGAGAAAGCATGATCAAAATGTGAAAATTCCCTAAATGACCCAAACAATTCTTACTTTGCTGACACCCAAGTCACTAATATAGGGCTCCCTGAACCAACGTTATGATGACAAGGTCTAAAGAGATAATTAATAGTTATTTAGGTCAATATTTATATAATATTTCCCTTACATAAATATCTAGTACCTTTCTTAGAGACAAAAAAGATATCCACATTACTATTACTATGTGATATCTAATTGATCTCCTATAAATTAAAAATTTTGTTCTTAAGGCTGTATTTATAACACAATATTAACAATCCAAATATTAACAATCTAAATAGAAAAATTGTATCATAAATGAGTAATAAAACAATTTAATACATTACAATTTATATTGTCAATAAATGTGTTCACAAACACACAGTAGAAAGGTACTAATGTGCCAAAATTATTTTAACATTTATTTTTAATATTTTTTACATAAAAGAAAAAAAGACCAACAATTTTGAAAAGATAAAAGATAAAAACATTCTTCTTAGTTTTTTATTTATTTAATAAAAATTTATTCTGCTACATTTCTTTGGCAAAAATAATGCAAATCAGGAAAAAATGTTTAATCTGTGTGAAAACTTTGGGGTCTACAAACTATGGTATGTACTGTATATTTGAAAAGTGATCAATCCTGAAGTACTGACTGCCTATCTCATTTCTTGAGGCCCTAAATCAAAAGGACAGTACACATACCCCCAAACTGAACCCTTTTAGAAAGCAGACAGTCAAGGTATTTAGTAAGAGGCATGATGAGTTTTTTAAGTTGTATTTTTGGTCATACATTTTTGGAAAATGAAGAAATTAAATAAAATGTTTTTTTTTTTTTCACAAAGTTTACTCACATACAGCAAGGGGATATTTACAGTTAGACCCAAAAACACATTCAGCTATGCCTTCTGAGTATGGGGATATCACATAAGTAAGACTTTCCCACAGTCTAGATGCATAGAGGGGCCCAAAATCCAAGGAGCACCTTTGGGCTTTCAATGGGCTTAAATTATGCTTCTAAGTAGGGGGTGGTAGAGAGATAATAGGAGTAAAGTTGATGGCTTGTGAGGGACTGTTGAGGGGTAGTAGAATTGCAGTAGATTGAGGTATATTGGAGGGGATAGTAATAGTTAATAGAAATGCAATAGATAGAAATAAATGAATCATAGAGAGAGTACAGAGGAGCAATCAGTGATTGTAAGAGGGTGAGGGTGAAGGGGGAAATAGAGAAACATTTGGGGCAGGTACCTGGCAGTACAATCAGTGGAGGAGCAGTGAGGAGGTAGTATATGTGTAGTACAGCAGCTGTAGAGGAAAATAGGGAGTAGTAGGACATGCATACTTGGCAGTACAGCCAGTAGAGAGGAATTAAGGAGAGGGTAGAATAGTAGAAGAGTGGCAACAAAGAAACATTGCTAGATTGGCAGTAGTGAAGTCGGCTAGGTGTCCATACTGCAGTTAGAGAGGCATAGCAACACAAGACACATTAACCATGCCCACAGCCATGGCAGTGAAGTAGGTCAAGACAGTTCTGTTCTGGATCCTTCTGTTAGGTGGGGACAGTGTGGTGTGGCGGCAGTGATCACATAGAACCCTGTATAACAGCAAACAATGTATTGTAGAACTTGCAAAACAGTACAACAACCCAGTGGGGAACCTGGGAACTCACAACAGTCAAAGCGGAGAGTCAGCAGTGAATAATCCCGAACTGGAGACAGCACCTGTTAAAGGGAGCGGAGTGTGGCTTGGCCTGACCAACGCAAAGGGATCTTGCTCTGCTGTAGATGTAGGCCCTAAGCTTACCCTCCTCCTCTGGAACCTCTCCCTGCTGCAAGTGCTGTCCTTGGCAGACAGGTATTCTGTCCCTATACTAGCCAACTCACAATTGCATCAAAACCCAGAGGCAGGGACTTAAAAAGACTCTGTGCAACCCAAGATGGCAACCAGGAACGCTGCTCAAGGGGACTGAGGGAATCATAGAGAATCCAGTTAATCCTGACTCCCTCCTCCAGCTGTATTTCCTTCTGGATGAGCGCCACCTGCAGTGAAGAATGTAGACTGCACCTGCCCACACTGCACTCTGGCTCCAGACCCAACTTAGCTTACAACAGGCCAGATCTGACAGCTTTATTGGCTCACCATACATGTAAGCCAATAGCCTCAGATCTCACAGGACTTCTGCTGTCATAGGTCGAGTTCTGCTTACACTGGAGTTGGAAAAAGAACTGAGGTCACTGGCTTGTGAAAGGGAGGGAAGTGGGTGATGTCGGTGAGTATCTACAGCTGTTTTAGGTGTCCTGTGGTCTCACTTCTTGCAGGTTCATAGTTGTTCTGGTGTCAGATGATCAGAGGCTACAGCAGGCAGGTACATCCCACTACCCTGTCCTCAAAAAAAGGAGTAGATGGAGAAAAATCCATGAAGAGAGTGCTGTAACATGCTTAAACACTGCTTACATCAGGGGGTCCCCAAACTTTTTAAACAAAGGGCAAGGTCAGTGTCTGTAACACTGTTTGACGGCAGGACTGCCAGTAGGAGTAAAAACAAAATGCCCCAGTGTGGATGGTAAGTGGGAGCAAAAGATGTCCCTACTTCAATGGTCAACGGGAGCAATAAATGCCCTTTCATCAGTGGTCAGTGGGAGTAAAAAAAAGCATCTGCATCAGTAGTCAGTGGGAGTAATATATTTTTCTGAATTGGTGGCCAGTGGCGGTAGTAAATGCCACTAGGTCAGTGGTAGTAAAAAATGCATCTACATCAGTAGACAGTGAGAGTAATAAATGTTTCTGCATTGGTGGTCAGTGGGAATAATGAATGCCCTGCATTAGTGGTAAGTGACAGTAATAAACTCCCTGGCATCAGTGGTTTGTAGGAGCCAAAATATATGCGCATCAGTGGTCAGCGCGAGAAATAAATGCCACTGCATCTGTGGTAGGGGGGAATACTAATTCTTCAGTGTTAGTTGGAGTAAAAAATGCCTCTCTATTCGTGAAAGTAAAAATATATTTGGGTCAGTGGGAGTTTAAAAAATGCCTATGTCAGTGCTCAGTGGGAGTGATTGATATCAGTGTGTCAGGGGTTAAAATGGTGCCCCTGTGTCAATGGTCATTGAAAATGATACCCCTGCTTCAGGGGTGCCTGTGTCAGTGGTGCCCCTGCGTTAGTGGTAATAATTCCCTATTATTGATATTTAGCCATTTTACTAACCTTTATATCTGGCTTCATATTCTTGGCCATGTCAGTAACACTAAGTATAGTTATGTCGCAGAAGGGACTATACAGGCACTAACATGAAAGAGATCAATCCACCCTGTTACATTGCCAGGTGGTAGAATGTTTTCCATTCTAGTGCCCAGCATCCACTGATACTCTTCACAGCAGCTCCCCAGCAAGCAGTGAGAAAGCTCTACATGCAAGGCCTTCTCATTGCAAGATCTGGTCTCTGGCAACCACCAGGCCGTAACAGGCCCACCATCTGTAGTTTGAAAGCCACAGCTTTAATGCATACCTCTGGCCAAATCTTTTTTTTAACTCTGGGTAAAGTTAGATCCCCTTTCAGGATTTAATACTGTCTGTGTCCCCACTGGGGAGTTTTACCTCTCCATTTATCCTGACAACCATGCCATCCTAAGTAAAAGTGAGTAGGATTCCAGACTTTTTTTTACAGGTGTCACTGGAATAGGAGCAGAAGTGAAATCTACCAATGGAGGCACTTGTATCGATGACAACTGTCAGAGGTAGCATATGCCCTCATTTTATCCATGTACTGCCACATACTTATCCCGTAGTTCCTGTTATATCTCTATGGACAAGAAGTGCAGGTAAATATCCAGAATGACAATGCACATGGCAATAAAACAAATCTAACAGGGGGCCAAACCTTTCTGCTTTCTTCACAAAACAAAAAACGTTTGCCTGAGTTAGAGTCCGTTAAACCATGAGGTTCCTTGAGATAAAGAAAGCTTCAGTGTAACCTGTTATCTTTAAGCCCTACAGCCCTACCCCTAGTTCAGGTTGCTGACGAGTAATTATTTGGATAAGCTGTGCAAATACATAGTGATAATGAACTGTTGTTGGAAGTAAACCCGTTTGCATAATGATAACCTTTGCTGTCATTTTGTTTTGTTACTGCAAGATAAATGATCTGCACAACAATAACGTTTACACCTGCTAAGAATACAAGTTGGAATAAAGGGTAAAATTGGTATCTGTCAATGCTTCTAAGCTATTGGATGGTGTGACTCTATGGACTCATGTTTGTCTTATTATACTTGTCTCTTTATGAAAAGAGGGAACAATGAGACATAGTTAATACCAAAACTCAATGCCTCACCAAGGATACGACTATTAAAAAGGCAAATTAAATATAGCACACCCGTGGGTGTTAGCAATATATTGGTATATGATGTGGGTTTCACAGCTCTTACCTGGACTGACGACACAGCAGAATCCAATGAAACACACACTGGCTTTAAGAGATAAAATTTCCCTGGGGGATTTATTCCATCTAGAAACAGGGTGTAAATATCACCTATGACTCTAAGCGTAGTGAATCTTAGTAATCGTATTGGATAATCATGTATATTAACTTATGGACATAAGGGGGTTTATTTACTAAAGCTGGAGAGTCCAAAATCAGACTCCCTTCTGCATAGAAACCAATCAGCTTCTAACCTCAGCTTGTTCAATGAAGCTTTGGCAATGAAACCTGGAAGCTGATTGGTTTCTATGCAGAAGGGAGTCTGATTTTGGACTCTCCAGCTTTAGTAAATAAACCCCAAGATGTCCTATACCAAACACATATATTAACCTCCCTAACGGTATTCCCGAGTGTAGCTCGGGGGTAAAACGTCTGTACCAAAAGCGGTAACCCCGAGCTACACTCGGGCTTACCATGCAGCGCTGCATAGGGATTCCCTGCAGC